TACTGCAATTCCTTTGGCAGGATATGCAGAGGGCTTTGGAATCAAGCATCTTTGAATGGCAGGTCCTGCTCTTTGACATGACATGCAGCCACTGCTGTGCAGGTTATGTTCTGCAGCAGCACATAAAGTGCCACAAGGCACTAGACTCAGTACTCATGGAAGTCACTGAACACTGGACAACTGCCTCCATACTATCTGTGAAGTCAGAGATGCCTGGGCCCTAATCAACAGTTACTTAGCAAGGGAGACTTTGAAATCATCCAAGGGGGCAAGTAATGTACCTGAGGTCATTGAACATCTGTCCCCTGAGGCCCAATCAGCAAGTAGCCAGTTTTTTGTCCAAAGCCAGCAATAACCTTCAAGAGCCGACTTTAGGGCTATTCTGGGACTACCTCAATGATATGCTGGGTTGCAAACATCGCCCTACTGAAGCTTCAGCCCCAACTCTCTGACATCTCTACAGTGTCCTTGCAAAGCTCTATGACCATTTAGGCTACATAGTGCCATTCACTACAGAGTGCAAGGGATGATACTATCCAGCCACAGGATCTGCTGGACAGATGGTTGAGCTGGGAACAAAAGATTCCTACTTTGCAGAACCTCAAGCTTTACCACACTTATGCACCTTCTACAGCAAAGAACAGACCATTCCTGAGTCTGTTTTACAGACAAGATTGGCCAAGGTTGAGGGCATCATGAACCTTTAGGTTAGTTGTCATCTAATGCCATGGATCCAGACCCAGTTATGTCAGACCTTCTCCATACTATATAGGTTGCCATGACTCATCACTTCCTGAAGCGATTCATGATGCAGGGGATCTAGGGAGAAGGCAATGGAAGCATAGCCAAGCCCTTGCTGACCACTTTTGATTATCTTTCATTCAGCACTATCTGCCAGGGCTGTGGGAATGCAGTAAATGGTGAAAGGATGGAAAGGCACTCACTATGAATCAAGTGGTTCTAATTGTAGACCCCCCATCTCCCTCAGGCTTCATGGCCTATTGTGTGGATCACTCACACTTACCCAGGGGAAGACAGACATAGTGTATCAGAACTGCTAGCATCCAGGTGAAAAATTGAACTTATGTGCATCCACTGGCTCGACTTATTCCACTTCAATTTCTCAAAGGGAACCAGGAAATCCCTGGCTAAGCTTTCTTCCTGTTATTCAGCTGCCTTGTCAG